CTCGATCCCAGGACTCTGGGATCATGACCTGAGCCGAAGGCAGAGGCTTTAACCCACTGAGCCACCCAGGCGCCCCTGATTTTTAATTTTTAAAAAAATAAATTAGTGGCCTCCCCTAAGCAAGAGGCAGTTCTTCTTCTTTTTTTTTTAAAGAATTTTTAAAATTTGACACTGAAAGAGACAGCAAGAGAGGAAACACAATCAGTGGGAGTTGGAGAGGGAGAAGTAGGCTCCTTGCCAAACAGGGAGCCTGACATGGGGCCCGATCCCACGACCCTTAGACCATGACCTGAGCCGGAGGCAGATGCTTAACGACTGAGCCCCTAGGTGCCCCTAAAATTAAACTGATTAAGGACCTTAATTCCATCCAGAAAGTTCTTTCACCTTTGCCACGTATCACATAATTAGAGACATGACACCCATCCCATTGCGAACTCGACTCACGCTCAAGACGAGGGGCTTACACAAGGTCGTGAGGCACTGGAACTGTCCTAGTGTTCTGCCTGCCGCACCGTCAGAGACACAGAGCAGGGCAGCACCTGGGCCAGGACTAGCCCGTAGGAGGCAGGAAGGAGAAGAGCCGGTGGCGTGGCTGCTGGCACCTGAAGCCTCGGCAGGACAGACGTAGGATGTGTGGGTGCCTCTCTCTTTGGGGATTCTTCTCAGCCCCCCGGAGTCACAGCAGCAGCCTTCCTTCTATGTTACATGCTGTGGGGATAAGTGTTCTGAGTACCACAGACTCTGCTCTGGTCTACACGGGGTTTCTGGCACCGTCCACTGGACAGCGCCATGGGGAGGCATCTGCCCACCTGACCCCTCATTCAGTCACTTAGTCTGGTATCTCCTGGACTCTGCCCCTAGGCTCCAGGCCCCACAGACGCTGGAGGGAAGGCCAGGCTTCCCCCCTAGGCTGGTGGGGGACAGACACACCACCCTTCTCTCTCACTGGGACTACAGGTGAGAGGCAGCAGGCTCACAGCGGAGATACCCAATACGGTCTCCCCTAATACACACTGGGTGGACTGACGCAGAGGCGACATGACAAAGGAGCACATCTTTGGTCCAGGGCCCCAGCTGTGGGGTGCCAGATAACCTACAAGACGCGTACAGGAAGGGGCTGGTGAGTCCTCTCGGCCGCCGCTGGGGGGGTCTGGACAGGCTCTGATGAAGGGTGTGCTAGCTGTCCTCCGAGCAGCAGAAGCTCCCTTGCGACTGGGCAAGCGGCTGGGATGAGAGAGTTTTCCTGACCGCAGCCGGTGGCAGCTGTGCCGGTGCGCTCAGGCCCCGGGGTGCAGGGCAGACGTGGTAGGCCGGTGCCTAGACCACGCCCTCCACCCCTCCCTCGTCTCCTGCGTGGGCTAGATGGGCCCCAGAGATGCCCGCTTTCTCACCCAGGACACTATGCGTGCACGGGACTGACGTCAGGGACCTTAAAATAGGGAGATTATCGGGCATGCGCACAGCACAGACAGCACTCGCACAAAAAGGAAGAACGGCTGATACACGTGAGAATCTGAATGTCTCTCTGGGGCACCCTGCCGAGTGGCGAGAGCCGGTCAGCAGAGGCTGTGTGCTGCAAGGCCGCACCCGGGAAAGTGGGGAGATGAACAGCTCGGTGGCGCCCCGGACTAGCAGAGCCGGTCTACCAGGGGCGGCTGGAGGCAGCGCTCTGCAGCTGTGGGAACGCCCCACCTCTTGGCTAGGGCGGCGAGTACACAAACCCACACGACGGCTCAGAGCTCTGCCCGCCACTGCCATCAGGTCAGGTGGCTGTGATACTGTGTCACAGACGTGCAAAACAGAACCACGGCAGGGAGGGGGGGTGACACGTACGAGGCTCCTGTCTAGACTCCTCCTGCAAACTTCTGTGAACCTGTAGTCATCCTGAGATGATAAATTAGAAACAAAAATTTAAAAAATGCTCCTAGGGGGTGTCTGGGTGGCTCAGTTGGCTAAGAGACTGCTTTTGGCTCAGGTCATGATCCTGGAGTCCTGGGATGGAGTCCCACCTCAGGCTCCCTGCTCACCAGGGAGTCTGCCTCTCCCACTGACCTCTCTCCTGTCAGGCTTTCTCTCTCAAATAAATAAATAAAACCTTAAAAAAAAAAAAAGAAAGAAAAAAACGCTCCTCGGGCACACCTAAGCCTGGAGGGACTCCCTCTGCTTTCCCTGATCCTTGTTCCCGGCCTCAGCAGACATCGCTTACTTTCTCTGAACAAATAGGGCCTTCCGCCACCCCGTGGCCTTTGCACGGCCCCTAAGCTCTGAGAATGCTTCCCCAGTCCCCAGGCCCCTCGGACGTCAGGTTTTCAGGCCAAATCATTTCCAGGATCCCTCCAGCCCGGAAGCCCCCGCCGGAAGCCCCCGCGGCGAACAACACTGCTACTGCCTCGGTTTCTTCAACTGCTGCGGTACAGGCTTTGGCAGGACCCGCACATACTCAACGGCCGACGACCAACAGTCTGGGCTTTGGAGCTAGGTTTCCAGTTTGAAATCTCAGTCCGGGGGCTCCCCCCTTCAGCTCAGGCCATGATCCCCACACGGGGCTCCCTGCTCCGCACAGGCTGTTACTCCCTCTCCCTCTGCCCCTCCCCCGGCTCATGCTCTGTGTTTCTGGAATAAATAGAAAATCTCAGAAAAGCAGAGTCTCTCCTCTGCCTTGGACCAATGCGTCAACTTCTCTCTGGGTTTCCTTGTCCGTGAAGTGGGTTGTGCTCTTGGGAACCTTCAGAGCCAGGTCAGAAGCCGGGTAGCGACCCCAGGGAGGCGCACAGGCCGGGCACCAGCCCCGCGCCACGCAGTGCAGGCACACCCGAGTCGGCTGGGAGCGCGCAGAAGCACCCAGCGCGGACGCCCGCCCGGCTGAGAACGGAGCAGACGGGTTCCGCCAACAGGCTCCGCGCTGCTGCGCCGGAGAAGCCGAAGAATAGGGTCGTGAGGGCCGGGCCTCCCGCGGCTGCGGCTCCCGGTAAGGCGCGCGGACGCTGCTGTCCCTACTTCATCACCTGTCGTCTCCAGCAGGCCGAGCTCCCCGAGCGCCACCTTCCCCGCAAGGCGCGCCCAGGCCGGGCCACCAGGCAGTCCCCGGAACGGGGGCGGAGTATCCCACACCCCCAGACGCTGGGCTGCGGGAGAGGCTCCCCCACCAGAGCGCGAAGGACCGGGAGAACCGCCACGAGAACGGCCTTCCCCGGTCGCTTCGGGAGCCGGGGGCCGGGCGCCCACACCTCCGTCCGGCCGGCGCACCCGCAAGGGGCTCCGCCGGACTTCAGCCAACCCGGCGTGCGGGGCTGCCACTCGGGGACTGGCACGGGGAGCCTGCGGGGCTGGGGTCCGATCGCCTGAAGACTCGGGGCGCACAGCTCGCGCTGCCGTCCGCGAGCGGAGGGCCAGGCGGGGCTGCTTCCACCGCCGTTAGCCCGCGCACACCTGCGGGCGGCTACGCCGGGCGTTGACCTCCCTCCCGACCCGCGGCCACTGCAAGCAACATCCGCACCCCGAGGGCGAGCCGGCCCGAACCTCAGCTGAGCCCGCATTCGGCAGACCCGCCTCCGGACTCAGACTCCGCCACCGTCTGATCCATCCCACTCGCCGACGAGGGCCCCAGGGGAGCTCGGCGGGCACCGTGCCCAAGCACCAGAGCCGCGGGCGCCGTCTACACCGGCGGGCGCAAACAGCCGCCGGCCCGCTCTCCCGTGCCGAGCGGGTCCCGGCGTCAGCCGCGCCTTCCTGCCCCCGCCTTTCCCCCGGCGCTGGCTCCGCCCCCTTCCTCCCCCCGCTCCCTTCCAGGCCTCAACTCCCCATTCCCAGCCTGCTCCGGGCGTCAACGCCCCCGCCCCACGCGCCCGCCCCTGCGCCCCTGCGCCCTCCTACCACCCCAGTTCCCCATCTCCCGCCCGTCGCCCCCCTGCGCCCCACTTCCCCCATGTCCCTGCCCGTCGCCCCCTGCGCCCGCGGCAGGGCGTGAGGGTCCGGGCTGTGCTGAAGGCCACGCCTGGCCGACGCCGGGGTGGGGGGTGCGGGGGTCAAGCTGAAAAGAGGCGACGCGACGCCGGAGCCCGGCCCACTGATACCTGCTTCCCGGGCTGCGCTCAGCGGCTCCGTCAGGGGCACCGCGGCAGCACGTGGCGCCTCAGGAACGTGAAGGTTCTGGAAGGCTCTGGAAGGTTCTCTCGGGTCGTGTGGTGGGGACGGGGAGGGAACAGGGCGCCTTCCGCACGCCGCGGGGCCCGGAGGCGGGTTCATAAAGGGAGCGGGGCCGGTCCGGGCTTAGACCGCCTGCCGTCGCCGCCCGCTCGGCGCCCCCGGCTTCGAACCCGCCCGCCCTCTCGGCGTCAGTCAGTCAACCGCGCGCGCGCCCGCGCGCCCGCCCAGCGCCCGTCAGTCAATCGCGCGCGCGCCCGCCCGGGCGGAAGGGGCGGGTCCCGGGGCGGATACGGGCGTCCCATTGGCTGGCGGCGGGGGTAGGGCTTGGCGGCGCCGCGAGGCTGTCCCCGCCCTCACCCCGCGGGGGGCGGCGGCGGCGGCTGAGGCGGTGAGCGCGGGCCGGGGAGGCGGCTGGGAAGGCGCGGGTGCGGACGCCGTTGGGTCGCCGCGGCCTCCTCGTCCTCTGCGCCGGGCTCGGGGACGCCGCGCTGCGGAGGCCGGGCGCCCGGTGAGGCCTGCGGGCTGCGTCCCGCGGGCCGACCGGCGGGGGTCGAGGCGGCCGCGGCGGGCCTGGTGGGGAGGGGCGAGCCCCAAGCGGAGGGCCCCCGGGGGCGCGAGCCGGCCCCCGCCGCGTGCGCCCCCTCCCCACCCTGGCCCGGCCCCCGCCGCGTGCGCCCCTTCCCGACCGGCCCGGCCCCCGCCGCGGCGGTGCCCGTGGGCGGCCGGCCCGGGAGGACGCCGCGCAGCTGGTCCCGTCCCCCGAGGGGCCCCGCCGCGGCCGGCGCCGTCCGCGGGCTGCTCGGCCGGGTCCGCGCGGCGGGGCGCGGGCGCGGGGCCGGGCTGTTGCGCGGCGGTTTGCGCGTCCGGGCGGCCCCGACGCCGCTGTGCCGCTTGTGTTGCAGGGCGCCCGGTCCGTGCCCGTCGTCCCCGCGGGCCCCATGAGTCCGAGTCATGACGGACGCCCAGTATGTCCTGTGCCGATGGGAAGAGCGGCTGTGGCCGGCCCAGGTGACCCCCTCGGGCGGCGGGTCCAGGGCTCGCGGGGGGCTCGGGGGACCGGTGTCCGCCCGGAGAGACGCGGGGTCGGCGGAGCCCGAGCGGGCGGCCGCGGCCTCACCGCCCGCCTGACGGGCGCAAGACGCCGGAAGGCCCCGTCGCGCACTTGGGAGAAGCGGGGGCCGCCTCGGGGAGGCAGGCGCGGCGGCGGGAGCCCGGGAGAGCCCCCGCGCCCCGCCCGCGTCCGCCGCCGGCCCCGCAGGCCTCGCTCCCCTTGCGGAGTCCCGGCGGCGGTCCCCGGGCGGTCGGAGGTGGCGGCGCTGCGCACCTCGCCGCCGGCGGTCCTTGGTGGTAGGCGTCCTGGCTTCTCCGTAACGGCCGCGCGTCCTGTTTCCCGCTTCCCCCAGGTGCTGGCCAGAACGGAGACGTCCACGGGACGTAAGAGGAAAAAGGAATTTTTCCTGAGTGTTCAAATACTCTCCCTAGATGAAAAGTTAAGTGCTGTGGGTTTTGTTTCTTTTTAAGGTTTTATTTACCGAGGGAGAGTGAGTGCAAGTGTGGGGGGCGGGGCGGGGGGGTGTGAGGCTGGATGCCAGGGCCCGGGATCGCGACCTCAGCAGCCCCCAGGGCCCGGGATCATGATCTGAGCTGAGGGCAGACGCCCAGCCCACCAGCCGCCCAGGCGCCCCAAATGTTATGGGGTTTTTTTAGTATTTTCTTCCGAAAGGGATTTCTTCTGCTGCACCCGCCCCAAAAGTGAAGTCCGTTCCTGGGAGTTTATTACTTTCCGTTTGTTGTAACAGACTCATAGTAGCTGTGCTCATAACAATCTTAGGAGGAAAACACTGGGGGTGTTTTTTTGTTTTTTTTAAGTGTCCGTTTGGAAATTGAAGATTCCTGTGAGGTGCTATGTGGGATCCGTACAGAAATCGAATCACACGCGGGGAGGACCCTTGCTGGGGTTCACGTGCGGATGGTTCCTTCCCGCAGATGTGTGTCTTTTCTCAGAAACGGGGGAGACGGCCCGTCCGTCTTGAAATGTTTGATGTCTCAGCCTGTCCGTCTAACGGGGGCGCATGCCGACACTGGGGAAGCACACAGGTCTTTTGCTCTTGATCACCTGGAGATGGAAGACCGTGACATGACCCGGGATGATTAAAATGCGCAGATCACGTAGGATCGTGGTATTGCTGTGTCTGAGGGTAGAATTCCCAGCTCAGAGAGAACAAAACCTCCCTCCTCGGGGCGGCCGCCTCAGCGTGCCTAGTCCCCAGCTCGCACCTTCCCTGCGGCCGCCTGGGGAGGTAACTGAATACTCCAGTTTAAAAGGAAAGTGTGTCCTTTGAAGCTAGGACACACCTGCTGGGCTGTAAACAGCTTTTAGTGACATCATCATCGGCTATGAAAACCTAACAAAGGAGTTACTTGTGCAGTTGAAAGTAGAATTTGGCTCAGAAAAGTCACAATTTGAATTCATTTTCACTCTTAAGCCCAGCCAACCTTTTCTGTCTTAAAAAAAATTCACCAGGGTCGTTGCTGCCTCTGACTTCAGGCATGTGAATTCCCGGTTGGCTGTGACTTTTGATTTAAGTGGAAGGTTGAGAAGGAAGAAAAGGAATCCAATTCTCGTGTCGTCTACAGAAAAACGTGTTTGAAAATGTCTTCGTGGCCTTGGCCGGTGGCGGATAACTGGTGTTTCTGTCCCTGCAGGATTGAGGTGAGGAGCACAGACGTGGAAACCCTAAAGACGGCCCACATTGAACGGATAGCCTCCTCCCTGGGTAAGAGCGCGTCTCTACCTCACAAGGAGACCCAGGGGGAGAAGGGAAAGACCCTGGTCCCAGGTAACCCTGAGCTGAGGGAAAGGAAGAAAAGGGGTCTCTGTTCTTAACCCTTCTAGAATTTGCCCCAGAGCTGGTCCTGTTCTTGAGTCCCGGCGCAGCCAGCCACAAGCGCTGGAGTCCCCGGCCTCCAGGGTGCGTTTGCCTCCATGAGGGGATGGGGAGCCGCTTCCTTCCCCGCCACTGCCACCCCGCAGGAAGACTGTAGGACGGGTTTGGGAGCAGGGCTCGTGTGTTTAAATTCCACAGCTGAGCCGTGGGGGAAGGACTGTGTGACCAGCATCGATGTAGGTGCCCATGCCTGCTGGGGCTCTCCTCTTCCCCACCCACCCCCTTTGCCTTTCCGCGGTGCCATGCACACCCGCGGGGGGCTCCGCCGACCCACGCAGACGGGTTTTCTGCCGCCTCAACCCGGGGTGCACACTCCCTGTCCCGAGCGCTGGGAGTGTCCTGGAAAGACAGACCGGGAGCCCTTCCAGTGGTGTGTATGAGACAGGGTCCGTTTTCTTCTGCGTGCGGAACACGGCTTTTGTTCCCAGCGGCATCCACCGGGCGCACCCCAGGCGGCCTCAGCCTCTGCCTCCAAGACACTCCTCTTGGTTCACTCGGGTTGTGTGAGGGCTGGGGGCCTGGGAGGGTCTGGACGAGAAGCCGGGGGAAGGCTGTGGAGGGCGTGTGTCCGCTGGGTTGTGCCCTTGCGCCCAGCATCTCTTCCCCATAAATCATGCCGCGCACATGCGGGGCGGGGGGAGTCGATGCATCAGTAGCGGCGAGGGTGTCAGGAGGAAAGCTCCAGGCCCTGGTGCTCCTCTCTGGCCTGGAAACGCCGTCCCGCAGGAGTACGGACAGTCCGCCAGCCCCCAATGGGCCCCTTCCATTGGCCGGCGCCCACCAGCTCCGCCGCCCGAGAGCACGCTGCCAGGCCAGGTCTTTACGGAGACGGCAAGGGTTTGAGCCCGACTGATGTTGAAACCGCGGGACTGGGAGGACTTGGGAGGCGTCGGAGTCCGTTGGCTGGCACTGTTTTCCTGTGACTTGGGGGAATTTATCCTAGAACGCAATCAGATTGGGGTCGGTCAGTTGGTTTTTGGAAAGCAGGACCGGCGGCCCGAACAGAGAACAATAGCCGTGGTTCTGTGGCCTCGTCCCACCCCGGGAGGACGGGGAGCCGAGAAGGGTCGGTCCTCCTTTCAGGTGTGACAGCCCGCATCAGCCCTAGGTGGCCACGGTGTGGCGGCCGTGCCAGCGCCCGCCTGTCACCAGGCTCTGTGTGCTTCTCGCCCTGCAGCCTCCCAGGATGAGGTTCCCGCCGAGCCCCTGGAGGAGCTGGCCTACAGACGCTCGCTTCGAGTGGCTCTGGACGTTCTCAACCAGAGAGCCGCGTCGCCTGGAGAGAGCTCTTCGAGGGAAGGAAGAGCGGCTCTGTCCTCTGGAGGGAAGTCTGCGGACCTGGCCTCCTTGCTCTGTGACCCCGGCTCTTCCGGTCTCCAGGAAGCCGTGCCGAGCAGTTCTGGACTTGAGAGGCGGGAACGCGTACACCCAAGGCTGGCGGCTTCACCCGCTTGTGGGAAGGACTCCAGGCGCCAAGTGGCCCACAAGGAGGAGCTCGGGAAAAGTGAGAGCCTGCGAGCCGTGGCGGCCTCCTCGGCCAGAGCCGCCTCTCGGGACGGCAGTGGATGGAGAGCGCGCTGCAGACGGCGGACAGCCCCGAGGCCAAGGGGGAGGAAGTTAGCACAGCAGCCTCGCCTGGGTGAGAGAGCACTTGCGCTCTCGGAGGGAGATGGTGGAAAAGAGAGCAGCCCGCCAGCCCCCGGCTCAGCTCCCAGCGTCAGGGAGGCGGGTCTGTGGGCCAAAGGGCGAGACCTGGGTTTGCCCCTGCACGGCACTGATGGGCTCCCGACCCTGGGGCGCCCCACCAAGCGGCTGTGCCCAGACGGCAGCCAGACGCTGCCCGCCCCACAGCTGGAGCCGGGGGCAGTGCCCAGGCAGGGGCCCAGGGGCTGCACGAGTCTGCGCAGCGCTGGTGAACTCAGCCAGCCGCTCCCCCGTGCTGCTGCGGAGCCGCCGAGGGATCTTCACATCCTGGTGGAGGAAGGTAAAGGTCTGCTGGCGGAGGGCGGAGGGCGGAGCTGGCTTCTCCCGGGGCTGATGCGGGTCAGGCACTCGCGTGATTTTTTTTTTTAAGATTTTACTTATTTATTTGACAGACACACAGAGAGAGAGGGAGCACAAGCAGGGAGAGTGGGAGAGGGAGAAGGAGGCTTCCCGCTGAGCAGGGAGCCTGATGCGGGCCTCGATCCCAAGACCCTGGGATCATGACCTGAGCCGAAGGCAGAGGCTTAACAACTGAGCCCTCCAGGCACCCCCACTCGCGTGATTTTTCACCTGATCTTAACGAGGTCGTGTCAAAATAGAGCCCAGGCAGAGGCTGCCCAGTTACTGTGTCCCACGGGATTGTAATTAGGACTAGTCTCAAATCCTTGGGTTTTTTGGTTCTGAATGGGCTGGGGCGGGGGGCACTGGAGGCTGCTCCCGGGGGCCTGGGCTCTGGCAGCCTCGAGGTCTGCTCCCTCTGATCGGGCAGGAATTGCAGGGTGATTGGCTCACTGGTGAGCGGAGGTAGACGCAGACGAGTCTGAGTCTCCCGACGTGTTAACGACTGCTGCAGAGGCGTACCCCAGTGCGGCAGCCGGCGGCGCACAGGGGCTCCCTTCGTTTGAACGTGGCGCTGTCCCCCGCGTCTTTGCGCTGCTGAGAACGGTCTGTTTCTCTCGGCTTCCGTGCCTCCAGGCCCACTGGCTCCGCGCGCTCGGGTTTCTGCCTTGAATTTAAATGTCGTGTGTTTACATTCATCCCGGCGCGTCTGGAGGCGGCAGGGAGACGAGCCGCAGCCTGTCCCTGCGTGTCCCCCTCCTCCCAAGTTGCCCCGGCCCTGCCCTCGCTCTGCCTAGACTGCCACCCGTGCGCCTGCCCTTTATGGAGACGCGGCCACCTCCCCCAGTCCTTTTCGACTCCGGTGCGTTTCTCCTGTGAAAGCGCACCTGGGTCGGAGGGCGGCCACGTCGCACCTGGCGGTGCGGAGGTCTGTGACGTGCGGTCTTTTCTGTTTGCGCGGATGGTCGCGCGTCACGGAATGTGTTTCTTGGGCTGGGTCTCTGAGACGGTGACGGTGAAGGTTGAATCTGACACCGTTGGCAGACCGTCAGTCTTCTGGAGAGTCCGTGGAGTTCAATCCCATTCATTCCGTCCTGGAGGAAGATGAGGACGACGAGGAGCCGCCCAGAATCCTCTTTTACCACGGTAAGTGTGGAGGAGCAGTGCGTCTGCTCGCGTGGCTCCCCTGGGCGGAGGCGGCCGGCCTTCCTGCCGCACCCACAGCCTCAGAGGTGCGGGGTTCTCCGCCCTCCTTCACAAGGGGAAGGCTTAGAGGGAGGAGGGCCTCCCGGGAGGAGACCAGCCAGCCCTCCCTGCCGGCACGCTGCTTCTTGTACATGTCGTCGTGTCTCGTGGGAGGGAAGGTCGGCGGAGCGGAGTGCTGGGTCCAGTTGCCACCGTTCGGGTGTGGCCTGGCGCTGCGTCCAGACCTTTGGGGGTGTCAGGTACATGTCTGTCCAGGGACGCAGGGTCTCCGGCCTGAGGCAGCGGGGCCCCAGGACCTCCTCCCACACGCACGCGCTGTCCGCACCAGAGCCCACATGTGCCGGTGCGCTCCCCCGGCCCTCTTTGTGGAAGGACCGGCGACGAAGACCCCAGATCCTGAACCAGCGACCGACCACAACTTAGTGTCTCGTGGAGTGGGCGACTTGGAATGAGTTTCGTTTTCAGACTTGCCCGCTGCTTGTTTGGACACTCGGGAGCGTTTTAGCCTCTCGTTGTGGGACGGTTACGGATCCGTGAGATGTTGCAGAATAACAGGTGGGAGCTGGGGGACCTCTCCTCCGAGGCGAGGCCGGAGGGCGAGGCGCGCCCTTGTGCCTCGGTTCCCGCGGCCCACACCGCGTCCGCCTCTGGTTCTGTGCTGACGCGCGTGCGTTTCCTCACCGTTCCTGAGGGTAACTCGACAGGCGGCGCACTGGCTGGGGCCTTGTGATTACTCTTGGTGGCCACCGCTTGTTCCTCCCTGAGCACCCCCACCGTCAGGTGCTAGACGCTTCCACGCCTTCGGGGCTCTGCCGGCTCAGCTCCCTGAGCGGAACTTACTCGGCCAGAGAAGGGACACGGTGGCACCTTCTTCCATGGCGAGAGGCCAGGTCACCACAGCCCCAAGAGACCCCTGCTTTCTGCTTCCATTTGATTTCGTCTTGTCCCCGTGCCCCTGGCAGCCTGACGTCTGTCTGGGTGTTTCCCATGCCCTGTTTGTGTTCATGGGGCTGTGACGGTTCTTTTAAAAACCCAGCGTTTTTCACCGGATGGATGACCGCCCTTTGCACGTTAGCCATGCGTGTTCGCCCGTCTGCAGACCTTGCCTGTGGCCCCGCTGGCGGCCGGGGCGCTGCGGGAACGGGGTTCAGCTTGTCTCCACTCGGAAAAGCAGCCTCTCGTGGCTGCTCTCGTTACCTCATTGTTCAACGTTCAAATTACCCGTTCTGGGGTTCTGCGTTTGGTTGGAAGTCTTGTTACGTCTGTTCGGTTGTAATTGGCTGGTCGCTGAGTGATGATTTTGGTAGTTTGTTTTTTTTTCTCTTTTTGAAATAAGAGATAATTTTTGAAATGCGTCCTAGGAATTTGCTTTTTTTTTTTTACCCAAGACTTACTTTCTTTGACAGAGTGCAGGGGCGGGGGAGGGTTCAGAGGGAGAGGAAGAAGCAGGCTCCCCACTGAGCAGGGACACTCCCCCACCCCCCACCCCGGTGCAGGCTCCATCCCAGGACCCCGGGATCATGACCTGAGCCAAAGGCAGCTGCTTCACTGACTGAGCCCCCAGGTGCCCTGGAATTTGCTGCTTTTGTTGGGGTTTATGTGCTTCGCTCTTTCTTTAAAAACGGACCTGGAGTTATTTGCGATTGTAGAGTAGTGGCCAAGGCGGTGCAGAGTTGACCCTGGCTTGTCCCCGCTCAGCAGCGCGCGTGTCCCCCACACTCAGGCGCCAGCGTTGTCGTGAGACCGCCTTGCAACCGTGGGGACCTCTGACCAGGCTTAGAGCGTCTGGTCTGAGCAGGCGCTTGCTGTGTTTTTTCCAGTTGTTGCATTTAGTGAGTGACACGGATCTGACTTACTGTTCATGTTTTTGTCCTTTTTAATTCCAGAGCCACGCTCGTTTGAAGTGGGAATGCTAGTCTGGCTGAAGCACCAGAAGTACCCCTTCTGGCCGGCAGTGGTAAGCTCCGGCGGCCTCGGGCACCCACTCAAGTCCCTGTGCACCCGCTCTCTCGCCCCCTTCGTGTCAGCTGGACCCCGGGGGAGTTCTTTCCTGGGAGAAACCGACAGCCTCGTGATTCTAAGCAGGGCTTCTGCACACGGTTACCTGAGTACGGGGAGTTCGATCGTTTTGGCACAGTTGAGCGTGAGGGTCCTAGAGCCCCCCTGGACCGAGCAGCTCAGGAAACTGCCTGAAGAGTCTGCAACTTGCGGGTGTCTGATACCGCGCGCCTGAGGCTTCGTCTGCGGGAGCTTCTCCCGCGGGAGCTTGGAAGTTGCTCCGACTCCGGGGTGGGGACTCCGGGGTGGGGATCGGTTGTGCGGCTGAGGTGGTGGGCCTCAGCGCGTTGACATTTTCCAGCGCGCTTTCTCCGTGCACCCGGCCAGTGCGGACTGTCCAGACGCCTCCTAGGCCAAGGCAGCGTGCCAGCTTCCCACCCTTCCTGTGGTGTCCAACTCCCCCAGACGGCGTTCCGACGGCGCATGCTCTCGGGCTTTAATTTGTAGTGAGAGATGGTGACGTTGAACTTGGAGAGCTGTTTGCACGAGCAGGAGACACTGCCATCGCCGTGGGGCTGACCTCCGGTGGGCAGCACGGCCACCTCGGATGGGGCTGACTGGCTGTAATGACGCAGGGTTGGCGTCAGGGTTGGTGTCGCGCCTCGTTGGCTGGGCAGAAGGGCGGCTTCAACAGACGTGCCAATGAAGTGGGGGTCTGTGCAGCGTCTCCACATCGTTGTGGGGGGTCATTGATCGGGGACCCCGGCCTCCCTTCGGCTTGCTTCATGGCAGATGCTCATGTCCCCCTGAGGCCAGCACCCTTTTCCTGAACCTCTGCCTCAGCTTCACCAGCTCCCTGGGGACCTGCTGGGGAACGGATCTCCAAAGTCACAGGCTCCTGGGGCCCGCTCTCTACAGCTAAGCCGGGGACATGGGGGCACTGGGCAGGAGGCTGGGCTGAGTCCGGCACTGCTGCCTCTGTGTGCTCGGTTGGTCCTACCTGCCTGAGCTCACTTTGCTCATCCCAAAAACGGGAGTAAGCCCGTTCTGCTGAGTGAGGAGACAGTCGCGTGGTCAAGTGCCGAGACGGCAGGCGGCACAGGGTTGGGTCTTTCTGTTACGAGAGGGAACAGCAGAGTGCAGCCTGGTCCTGCGTGTGTGGGAGCACTGAGCGTGCCTGCGGCCGATGCGGTGATGCGATGTGAGCCTCCGACCCCGGGGCTTGGCCTTGGTGACGTCCCGTGTCGTTGTGTCCCCCCCCCCCACCACCAGCAGTGTCCTTGTCCTGTGCCAGCCATGTGCCAGCCTGTGCAGTGGAGAAAGGTCAGGAAGGTGGCTCAAAGCCCTGGCCTCTCCTGGGTTCCTGATGCTTTATTTTCTTGGGTTTCCCAACAGGTCAAGAGCGTCCGGCGAAGAGAGAAGAAAGCCAGTGTGCTCTTTATCGAGGGACACATGGACCCAAAAGGGAGAGGGTAACCCAGCTGTCTGTGCTCTCGGGAAACGCTTGGCGGGTGAAGGCCTGCCAGCTTGGGGGTGCCGGGATGGTGGGGAGGGGGCCTGGGCCCAGGGCCGGGATGGTCTCACGTGCCCCCTGCGATCCAGCTCCCCCCGAAGAGGAATCCAGAGGCTGTGTTGAAAGGGACCGCCCAGACAGTCCAGTTTCCCAAGCTTTATTTGCCTCGTTAGACGCTCAGTGGCCCCCACCTGTTCCCCGCAAACTGTGTTCCAACCCAGTTGTCACGGGTGCCGTGAGCAGCAGCCCTGCCGCCACCGGTTTTGTTGGCTTAGCTGTCCGCCCGTTTGCCACCAGGCCGTAATCCTGCATGAAAATGCCCGTCTGCTCGGAAGGCCCTTTGCAAACACGTTTTGGACCCTCTGGGCCCCGGGTGCTGCCTCTACCTCCCACGGGTGGCCCCAGCCACGTCCCGTGGGGCCTGTCTCCAGGGCTTCCTCGGGCTGCTGGTTGCTGGCTGAGGCCCCCCACGGGTCCCACTAGTCCATCGGAGGAAACTCGTCCTGACTCACGAGACGGAGTCCCTGTTAACCTTTGCCTCCCTCTTCGCAGTATCACGGTGTCTCTCAGGAGATTGAAGCACTTCGACTGCAAAGAGAAACAGGCTCTTCTGGTACGTGCACCGTGGGTCGTGCCCGTGAGAGGTGCGCCGCCACGTGACTGGTCTGCTGGCCTGGCTCCGGGCATTCCTGGTGGGGACCACCACTGCCCTGGGAAGTCGCCGGCCATGCCCCCATTGTCGAGGTGCAGAGGACGGGGTGCTTGGATGCAAGGCCGGCATCTTGACGTGGGCGATCGTTCAGAGGGTGTCCCTGCGCGGTGCCGTGGACACAGCGGGCCTGCGCGGGGGGCAGAGTGCTTGGTGGACGCCCCATAGGGAGCTTTCTGGGCTTGCCAGTCGCCGAGCCCGTAAGCCACGAGGCGCTCGTCCGTGCCACATGCTGTCCATGCGGCCCTGAGGTGCTGTGTGTGACGCCGGCTTTCCCGCATGGACCCAGCCGAGGGGAGGGGTCCGTTAGCCTCCTGCCCCCCGCCATGCGGTTCTTGTCCCAGCCCAGTGAGTGGGTTCCTGGCTTTGTGTCACTGTGTTCTGTGCACGTGGATTGCCCGGTAGCTCAAGGGCGGAGGCCCTCCGGGAAGCCTTCTGCCCAGCTGCTGTCTCCCTGAGCGCAGCAGGCGCGGCCTGCGGCATGGGCAGGGGCTGGGAAGGTTGGTGCCCATACCGGGCCCCAGCCTTCTCTTCCACTGATGTGCATGCCCGTGATGTGGTCCTGCTCCCGTCTGTCCGTGGTAGGAGCGCTCAGTGCGGCTTGTGAGCCGCAGCCTGCGCTGGGTGCCCAGTGTGCCCGTTGGCGGGTTCTGGAAGAAGGCCAGCCGTGGCCTCCAGCACTTCCATGCTCCGTGAAGCATAAGCCCACGAGTGTGGGGAGCTGGTTACCCACCTTCCGGGCCAGGGCTGGCCCCAACTGCATGGCCACTCTCGGGGATCTGGATAGCTTTCTCAAAGCAGGGGGTGTCAGAGGGGACAGCAGGAACTTGGCTTTGAGGTCTGTGCGTCCCAAAGTCAGAACTGTGTGCTGTGACAAAGATGACGTGTGGCCTCACGTAGTCCAGATGCTGAGGTGGTGCCTGTCGCCTGTCGTCCTGTTCCCTGAGAAAAGCCAGGCCCCCTAGGAAGTGGGATGCACGGGGTCACTGGGGGGGCTGTTGCTGTGGCAGGAGCACTGCCTCCTGGAGCCACGGGATTGTCCCAGGCTGTGATGATGGATCGGCTCCGGTGTCACGGTCACGGTTTTGAGCTCTGCTTTCCCGAGCACAGAGCAGCACCACCTGCTGTCCCTGTCCCACAGCTGCCACGCGGGGTGGCCCCAAGAAGGGCCAGGAGGAGGTGACAGTCACATAGGAAGGGGGATCTCAAGTGGTGGGACATTGTCCCAGCACAGGTCCTCGCGGCGGGTGGGGAGGGGGCGTGGTCCTTGGTTTGCAGGTGAGGACCTTGAGGTCTAGGTGGGCACCCCCACAGGGCACAACTCAGCCAACACCATTCTAAGGCAGGCGCACAGGCACGACTCTTGGAAGAATCTGCTTTGTAGGACTGTCGAGTCTGGTTTGGGGACGTAAGCCACACGCGAGGTACCGGGCTCCTTCCTCTGCTTCAGAGGCCCAGCTCTCCTGTTTGGAGCTCTCCGCTCCCGGGGACCCACTGTGTGAGCAGCCCTGGCCCCAGAGCCGGGCCTCCGCGCATTCCCCGTGTGTCCTCAGCAGCCCCGCACGGGGGCACCTGCCGGCGCTGCGGTCTGGACGCAGGGGCTGAGGTTGCCGACGGGATCGGAGGAGCCCGTGGCCCCTTGCTGACAGCTGCTGTCTCGCTCTTGGTGCAGAACGAGGCCAAGGAGGACTTCGACCAGGCCATCGGCTGGTGCGTCTCCCTGATCACGGACTACAGGGTCCGGCTCGGTACGTGGCCCTGCGTGCCCTCGGACAAAGGGACCGGGCTGGGGGCGGAGCGCAGGCCTGTTTCCCTTGGCCTCCAGGCCTGGGCCTGTGGCGGTCTTGTCCCCGACGGGGCAGGTGGGCTGGCACCCGGGCAAAGACAGAGGTACTGGGTGTGAATGGAGGTGGAGTTCGCTTTGAGTCAGGGCTGGCTTCCGTCTGCCCCGAGTCTGGCCGTCGGGAATCTTCCGACAGTGGTTTTTCTGGGCGCCCCGGGGGCGGGTGGCACCGTGATGCCAGTGTTGGTGTCCTGTCGGCCCTCTCGGGAAGGGGTCCAGATGGGGCTGACGTGAGGCCGGCACGCTGACCCCGCGTCCTCGGGCCGTTTCCGAGCGCTGCCTCTGATGCTGGGACGCACTGTCCTCTCCTGCCTCCTCGCAGGCTGCGGCTCCTTCGCCGGCTCCTTCCTGGAGTACTACGCTGCGGACATAAGTAAGTCTGCCAGCTCGATCGCAGCGTGAGGCGGCTGCCTTCTGTGTCGGAGGTTCGGAAGGGGAGGTGTCTGGGTGAGGCCGGGCCCTGTCCCGAATCTGACTGCCGCCTGCCCCCGCTGCCCAGCGGGCACCCGGCCTCTTCTCCAAAACGTGTCCGCGGCAGCACTCTGCAGCTGCCGTCCCTGCCGCCCGGGTTGTGGGCGAACGGATGGTCCCGTCGTCCGCCGCCGTCCCCGGTCACACGGCGTGGAGGCGGAGGGGTCCGTGCTTCCTCGGGGGGCTGCATTGGGGTGAGGCTGAGCTGGGGACCGACGTGGGGCCCCTCAGAGGAGAAGCTCTTAGGACCCTGGCGGTTGTGCCTGGGGGCCGGGGGGCGGCTCTCCCACAGAGCCCCAGGCGGCGTGGCGAGGGGAAGAGGGAGCCTCCCCACAGGCCAGCGGGTCCACGGCCGTGTCGCTTGTCTGCAGGTTATCCTGTCCGCAAGTCCATCCAGCAGGACGTCTTGGGGACCAGGTTCCCGCAGCTGAGCAAGGGGGACCCCGAGGAGCCTGTGGCGGGAAGCCCCCAGGGGAGGAGGCAGCCCTCTAGGAAGGTCCTCCCCGACCGGTCCCGGGCTGCCCGGGACCGGGCCAACCAGAAGCTGGTGGAGTACATCGTGAAAGCCAGGGGCGCCGAGGGCCACCTGCGGGCCATCCTGAAGAACCGGAAGCCGTCCCGGTGGCTGAAGACGTTCCTGACGTCGGGTCAGTACGTGACGTGTGTGGAGACGTACCTGGAGGACGAGCAGCAGCTGGACGTGGTGGTGAAGTACCTGCAGGGCCTGTACCAGGAGGCGGGTGGCCGGGTACCGGCGCGGGCCAGCAGTGACAGGATCCGCTTCATCCTGGACGTTCTTCTGCCGGAAGTGAGTGCGCGGCGGGGCTGTGGCGTGGGGCCAGCTGGGGGTCGGCGGCCGGAGCCGTGGGGGCCGGGATCGGCGCTGGGCTGGCGTCCTCCTGAAGTCGGCCCGGGAGGCCACGGCCACGCCGAGTGTGGTGCCCACCCCGGCCGTTCCATGGGCAGGAGGACAGGGCCCGGCTGTGTAGACGCCGTGGCCAGTGCTAGGGGACGAGAGGCGCACGCTGCGTCCCCGTGTGCACGCGGACGCGTTTCCGCAGACGCTGCTGCTATGGAAAGGGAGCCGCGGTTCTCCCGCACGTGCCCGCCGGCGTTCGGCTGGGTAGCAGCACACCTGGCACTCCCCTGGTGGTTTTGGGGCTTTTTTGTTTTCTTTTCTCCCCCTGGTGGTTTTGAGGGTCAGAGGGGGGCTCTGCTGGGCACTGGGAGCGTGTGTGGGGAAAGTTACCCGTCACCTTCGTAACTCAAAGCTTTCGAATACGTGCGGGGGGAAGCCTGCTGGGGCCGGGAGCCTGTGTGCCACCCCAGTTGCAAGAGTGGCCTCACTCCGCTCGTAGCTCCAGCCGCCGCCCCGTCCTCGTCTTTCTTATGTCTGAGTCCTCTGGTGTGCGTCTTGAAGGGATGGTTCTGCCCCAGGTACACTGGGTCCTGTGTGGGGACGGCTGAGGTTCTCACTGGGTCGGGGGCAAGATGCTGCTGCACCCCACGGTGCTTGGGACACCCCGCCCGGGAGTGACCTGCCCTGTGTCAGCAGTGCCCAGAGCGGACGGGGTGCCGTGTCCTAGATCAGAATGGCTCGGTTTGATTTTTAAGATTTTATTCTTAAGTGACCTATATGCTCCACGTGGGGCCAGAGCCCCCGACCCTGGGACCGAGAGTCACAGGCTCTCCCAACTGAGCCGCCACACGCCCCACGAACGCTTCGTGGAGGGCCTGGGGGCTCAGTCATGGGGCATCTGTCTCCGTCTCAGGTCAGGATCTCAGGGTCCTGGGATCGAGCCCCGCATCGGGCTCTCTGCTCGGCGGGAACCTACTTCTCCCTCTCCCACTCCCCCTGCTTGTGCTCCCTCACTTGCGGTCTTTCTCTGTCAACTAAATAAATAAAATCTTTTTTAAAAAAATCACATTTTTAATAACCAGAGTTTTTCTATTTTTTCTGAGGACACAAACGAGGATTTTCAGCGTCAGACTTGCCGTGTGCAGGGGCGATCACTGTTCTGTTTTTCTTGCTCTTTGAACACTAAACTTCAAAACTGTCACAAATGGGCTTGTTGGTTTTGCCACGTTCTCTGCTTTTAGTGACATGAACTCTCGTGTCTTGTCTCTAAGAGCGCGTCGTTCATGCCACACGGAAGTGTCCCTGCACGCAGAGGCCTCCCAGACCCGCACGCGTCTGGAGGCCACTCGGACGCTGCGCCGGGCCCCACACATGTCCCTCAAGCGCCTCGGGCAGCACAGGCCCGCTGGCCGCAGCTCAGTGCTCTCCGCCCTCTTGCAGGCCATCATCTGCGCCATCGCGGCGGTGGACGCTGTGGATTACAAGACGGCTGAGGAGAAGTACCTCAGAGGACCGTCCCTCAGCTACCGGTAGGCTGCTCGGGGCACCGCTGCCAGACCAGCGGCAATGTGTCCGGAAGGGCTCGTGTTCCCTCGTGCCGGGCGCCGGGGCTCGGGGACCCTCCGGCCGACATGCCGGTCCAGGTGCCCCAGCTGAACATGCGCGGAAGCCCTCGGCCAGGAGTTGCCACAGGGACCCAGGGAAGCCAGCGTTCAGGTGCGCTGTCCTCGGGCGCATCCCCGAGCTGCTCAGAGCAGGCGGAGCTGGACCCCAGCCCGGCCCTCGCCACGGCCTGCAGGCAGTCCTCTGGGGCTGCTCCCTGGGCGCCTGCTGGGCCTCAGCGAGTTTTGCAGGGGCTCCTGTTAGCATTCCGAGGTTTCTCCGTCCTGCCGAGGGCCATGGCCGTTTGAGAAAACACAGACCACACGGCCGCAGTCACCCCAGGCCGCTCTTAGCTGGTCGGAAGAATGCCGGGATCAAGATGTTTCTCTCCCGCCAGTGGGGTTAGGCGCCCTGGGATTTTTGGCCCCCAGAGCCCCTAATCCCGTCTCCGGGCTCGCTGCCAGGCCTCGCTGAGAGCAGGCTGAGGACTCAGCTGGAGTGACAGGCCAGGGCCTCTGTCCAGGGCCGACCGGGCCTACCACCACGGCTGCCTGGCACCAAAGGCCGCCCCCGGGATGCCACGCTCTTTCCCAGGGAGGGCCCTGCTGCGTGCCGTGGGCCGCAGCGCCAGTGGGTGGGGAGGCTGCCTGCAGGGCCGACCTGGAGGAACCTGTGTGTGCGGGAATGATGACCTGGACGAGTCGGGAACATGAGGACCCCGGGCTGCAGGGAGACTCGGTAGTCCGGCACAGGCCGTCGACTCCCAGATACAGGACAGTGTTCTTGGGGGAGCAGGGTCGGAGCCCACACACGCCCTCCGGCGCGGTGCTCTCCTCCTCCTCGTCCGAGGGACTGGCTGTAGTGCCTGTGAGGAGGACTGTCCATCTGCACGCCCTGCCACTGCCCTTGACCTGCTGTGGGCGTGCTGGGTGTGGCATGGAAGTGACGTTGGCCGAGCTGGTGATGGCAGAGGCTCCCTTCTCCAGATTCCGGGGACGTGGCCTCCAACCACGGGCGGTCAGCCACTCCTGCCCACAGCCGTCTGGCTCCTTCCCCCTTAGCTTGTGGTGATGAACGGGGGGTGCCCCCCAGGCCTCGTGTTCCCCCTGAGCCGCGCAGTCACGTGGACTTGCCCACTGTCAGAATCCGTGTGCTTTGTGGCTCTTGCCAGCCCTGGCCTGGGGGTGCCCCAAACACCTGTTAGTGTCATTCTTACCAGGGAGTTGACGAGGACCATTGGATAGTTCATACTCCTTAAAAAGTTCTTTTTTTTTTTTTTTTATGATTTTATTTTTTTGACAGAGACACAGAGAGAGAGGGAGCACAACAGGGGGAGTGGGAAAAGGAGAAGCAGGCTTCCCGCTGAGCAGGAAGCCCGACACGGGTCAATCCCAGGACCCCCGGGATCATGACCTGAGCTGAAGGCAGATGCCTAACGATGGAGCCACCCAGGCGCCTCTAAAAAATTCTTTTTTTAATTGTTAAATGCACATGATGTAAAATGTTCCATCACAACCATTTCCAAGTGCACAGCTCAGCGGCGTGAAGCACCTGCCGTCATGCAAGCACCCCCACCCTCTGTCTCCAGAACTTTTCATCGCCCCGGACTTGAGACTCTGTCCCCCTGAAGCGTGGACTCATCTGTTTCATATTCTGAGACAAGGTAAATTATTAAAATGAGATTCTCTCCTTTTATTTTTTGAAGGGAAAAAGAAATATTTGATAATCAGCTCCTAGAAGAAAGGAGTCAGCGGTGCTGACGCCGGAGGGGCCGCCGCGGGTCCCGTGGCCGGGTCGCGAGCGGAATCTGCAGGACCAGGGCCGGGCTGTGCTCACTTCTCATCTGTGGGTGTGCTTTTCCTGGCTTTCTTGAAAGGTAGAGTTTCTGAAAGGTGTTTGGAACAAAAATGTTTTATTTTACTGGATGCCAGTACTTCTGACTGTATTGTTCAACGTGAGGTGCACATCTGTTTTTTTTATGTTAAAAAGCACTGTATCCAATATTAAACAGGAGTTTTAAGAAAGAGCCTGATGTGAATGATTCCTTCAGAACATGTGCACGTTTCCGAGTTTCCCTCTTCTCGAGGCACGCCCCGGTTCCCTGTGCCGGAGAACATGGGTGGCGGGACTCGGCGGCCACTCCCCCCCCCCCCCAGTCCCGTGTGGGCACTGAGCGCTGCCCCGTCCACACAGATTTTCCCGTGTGGCCGCCTCTGGCCCAGCTCTCCCAGCCAGGCCCTGGCATCTGTGTCCCAAGGCCTGGGACCTCCTGAGTGCAACAGTCACGGTCCCTGTGTGTGTGGTCGGGGTCACGGTGCGGGGACGGGAGGGTCTGTGCTGACGGCTCCTGCAGAAGCAAGACCTTTGTCTGGAGGCCAGGCTCACGTTCCTGCCCAGGCCCCGAAAAGGGGGCAGCTGGTAGGCCACCCCCGTGCCCGAGGATCCCCAGCCCAGGCCCTGGCCTGCAGAGACCTGCGTGGCCTGTCCTCACACAGTCACAGAAATTCTGTGGCCCGTCACTCAGATGAACTCTATTCGAAGCTGCTGGGAGACGACATAGCACACGGTGGGGGGTTTCATCGGGAGACCCCCGATGGCGACAGCACCCCAGCTGGTGATGGGTTGCTGTGTCTGAACGTGGCAGACTCCCCCCTCCTCTCCGCCCCCCAGGGCCCCTCTCCCCACAGCAGCCACTTACAGCAGGGGCTCGGAGGGCGAACCTGTGGGGGGGCACAGGTGTGCTTGGCCCGAGAAGGCGCCCTCTGAGCAGGCAGGCCTCGCAGAGAACCCCAGGCCAGCTGCGCAGGGGGAGAGGCTGCAGCTCCAGAACCCTCCCAGGTGTGGCAGGGAAGCCTGGCCTGGGAGGGCGGGGCTGGGGGGCACGTGTCCTCCAGGGTCCCTGGGCCACCCTACCCCAAGCTGGGGGGGAAGAACTACAGAAGCTGGATGGTTCCTATCTACCACGGAGCCGGAAGCCAGGGGCTTGGTCGCTCCCTCCGCTGGAGCAGCCCACCATTGTCTCCAAAGTGGGCCTCGCCCCTTTCTGGGAGAGCCTGGTGGCTCTGTCCCTGTCCTCTGCGCTGTGCTCCTGGACCCGGGGCTCCATGGTGGTGGTGGCTGGTGGCTGTCGTGGGCCGTCGCCGCAGGTGCAGTCTGCCCCTGGGGCCCCCCCGCGTTAAATGCCTCCCGCAGCCCTGTTGGGGTGCTGGTCCTAAGGCTGCTGGGGCAGGGGTGGGGGGCGCAGGCCTGGCGGCCGGTGGCCTAATGGGGGCCCCTGGAGAAGCAGGCACAGCTGGGACGGACCTCCCGCAGGCAGCCAACGCCTGGCCCCTGGCTCCTCCTCCGTCTCCCACTCTCAGGCCAAGTCATTCTCCAGCGGCCTTCCCAGGAGCTGCGGGGGCCGAGCGTCCTGCACCGTGTTGCTCAGTGCGGGGAGCCCCCCTCACCACAAGCCGGGGTGCGCTTGCCTCCTTCCCCTGCCTGCACCTCTGCGCTCACTCGCTGGCCTCTGTGTGGCCCCCCTGCCCACCCCTTCTCTGAACTGCTTCCCATCCGGACCCCAAGGCCCTGCAGAAGCTCCTGCTCAAGTCGGCTTTGCTTTTTCTCACCGTGGCCAGCGCCGCACACCCGGGCCACTCCCGCTTCCTCAGACGGGAATTGTCATTGCACGTACCTTGGCCCTTCTTCAAGTCTATGTTTTATCTAAAAACTGATTTTTAGGGGCGCCAGGGTGGCTCAGTGGGTTAAAACCTCTGCCTTCAGCTCAGGTCATGATCTCAGGGTCCTGGGATGGAGCCCCGCATCGGGCTCTCTGCTCAGTGCGGAGCCTGCTTCTCCCTCTCTCTCTGCCTCTCTCTCTGTCTACTTGGGATCTCTGTCTGTCAAATAAATAAATAAAATCTTAAAAAAAATAAATAAAAAATAAAAACCGATTTTTAAAAAGTCACCGGGGTGTGGTGGGGTGGGGGGGTGCCTGGCTGGCTCAGCTGGTGGAGCGTTTGACTCTTGATCTTGGGGTTGTAATTTAGATCCCGGTGTTGGGCACAGAATTACTTAAAATCTTTAGGGGCGCCTGGGGGGCTCAGTGGGTTAAAGCCTCTGCCTTCCGCTCAGGTCATGATCCCAGGGTCCTGGGATCGAGCCCCGCATCGGGCTCTCTGCTCAGTGCGGAGCCTGCTTCTCCCTCTCTCTCTGCCTCTCTCTCTGTCTACTTGGGATCTCTGTCAAATAAATAAAGTCTTTAAAAAAAAAAAGAAAGAAAGAAAAGAGCAACTGGAGAGAAAAAAAAAAGTAAGAT